CCTACTACACCCTATGACTAATTATCCTTCTTCTTCCTATTATAACTTAGGACTAATTTCCCCTCAAGACGGTCATCATCTGTTCGTCATAAAGAAAATTCACTTACTATAGTTAATGCAATTCTAAAAAAATTAGTCGATGAAAAGAGACTACTCTCGAGAAAAGCACCAAAAATAAAAATTGAGAAACCCAAACAAAACATATACAACACTACATAATTTCTACTAAAACATGCTTGTATATACCAAAAAAGGTTCCCTTACTACTTTAACATGTAAACACAACTATATAACTCAATAATAACAACAATACAAGGAAAAAAAAGAGAGATCATGTCACACCCCGAGACTATCCTTAGACACGACACGGTGCCTAAAGCTATAAGTGATCTCAAGCTATAACCTCATGGTACGTCATGACATGATACTAAGATTCACATAATAAGACGGGGAAAAATACTGAATGCGGAAGTAAATTATGAACTAATTGTCTGAAAATATCTAATAGATGAGTTGCCAGGATAAGCCCCCAACTAACTATAATGTATGAAAATGCAAAGTAGTACTAAAACAAAGATAAAAGCCATCCTCGAAGAATGAGAACTCACCAAGATACTACTGGTAGCTGATCAGAAATAGTACTAATCGCAGGCTGGATACTGAACGTCAGAACATATATTATCAAACAATACAGACGGAAAGTATACGATCAGTATTTTGAATGTACCAAGTATGTAAGTAATGCATGATGAACATGATACTTGAACATGGTGAATTCTATCATGTTGATGCAATGACCAAGTTAAAATAACATAAAACTGAAATATACTGAACTGACATACATAAGTACAAGGTCATGCAATAATTGAAAGTCTGACTATTGGATATACTAAAACCGATATAAACCATGTGAGCTACTACATAGAATTCAGTGTACTACCCCACACCAAAAGGAGGATGTCCAATACTTGCCAAGGTAAGAGACCTAAAAACTATGTGGATCCACTAATATAATGTGTCAATCAGGGCTACATGAACCTATGCACGTAGTTCTGGGACTTAGAGATTGCTACTAAAGGTTCACAGACGCTAACCAGAATCCTTCATTCCCAAATCTGCTCAGCGCTAAGTATAAATCCTAACGAAAACAAACATATAATCTGGAAACAGTAACAATCTGATAATACTGAATCATACGAATAACTGATAAATAATGAGTAGCTCATAAATCATGATAACTAAAAGTATACTAAGAAATACTTTATCTGAAAGCATCACATGATATATCATGAAAATCTGATAATTTGATATATGCATATGAAATTGCATAATTCTAAATCATGAAAATACTTGTATACTTAAGGTTCATGAAATTAACATAAAAACATGGAATTCATAAGTAAACACATACAATTAAGGGTTAATCATGAAGAAAAACTTATGTACATTGAAAACCCATGAAGATTATAGAACCCTAATTTGAAGAATTTATGAAACTTGAAAATCTGAGGTTTCTTTGGGAATCAATGGGTGAAGGAATACCCATTGATGAAATTTCACATACCGAAAGTAGAAACCTTGGCTTGAATCTTGAAATGAAGACTTGAAGCTTGAAATCCTAATTCTTTCTTTGAGATAAGACTTTAGAGAGAAGAAATTGATTTTGGGAAAGGTAGGAGTGAATGAGGGGTTAGGGTCACTAGGAATCACATAATCCCACTTAAAATAGTCCAAAACGATGTAGTATATATATGGATTAAAAGAATGGAAAAAGACTAAATCAACCTAGTATAGAGATTAAAAGAATGGGAAAACACCAAGACGTCGATAGAGCGGCTTAAACAAGACAGAAACTCGAAATTCTCCCCATAAGCTTCTATTTCGCAACACACCTTCTAACCGTAACATTCTATACTAATCCCTTCACGCCAAGTTTGATATCGGGAGTTTTACAGACTCAAATTCACTTCCAAAAAGCCCTATAAATTTCTTATAAATTTCTTAATGTATTAGCTACTAGAAAATATGACTCAAGCTTAGAAATAACACCCAATCCATTCTTGGATTTCCCTAGACCTCAACTCGCTCAAATTTTATTTGAGACAAGCCTAGGCTAAGATTTTCAACTCACCACCCAAAAATTTTTCTGACCCAAATCTTTCACCATTAATTGGTCTACCCATAATGACTGGAAAGGATCGTTACAACAAGTTTGCTTTATTTTTTTTTAAAAATTCCACGTTAGTTTTAAGTGGTAAATAAATTTACTTTTAAATAGTAAAGATGTCTAATAGGTATCTCCCTGATAGTTTAAGTGTGTAACTGAATTTTGAGATAAATTCACGCGAAAATCTATGTCTTTTCTCTAAGATAAAAGCACACAGACGAGGATTGTATATTATTATATAAAAGCACGCATATTAGCCGTAGGACTTACAGGCATGTTGTATAGAAGCTTTTGCTTATGTTGTGAGACCAAAGGTTCGTACCCAGTTTGGGGTAAACTTTTTTATAGTGAGACTTTATGGTTAAAAGGCATAATACATAAGTATGCTCTCAGCTTTGGTAATGCATATAGGATACGTGTGCCTACTTATTCAACTTTATACAAGTATAATTCCTAACGTATCCACATATGACACGTGTGTCTATTTATTCAACTTATGACATTTATTCGACTTTAAACAAGTTTAAGTATCTATTTATGCACACCCAAAATTAGAATCATAGATACCAGTTGAGGTCAATTTAAAGGGTACGTTTGGTATACAATATTAGCTTTAGAACCCTTGATCTCCAATGAGACTCATAAACCAATGAGCCAAGGCTCTTCCATGTTCACATAATTTGATGACAAATTCTACTATATTGTTTTTATGGTGTACGTTGTTCTTCAAATTAAGGCAAAGTGGCACTCAGAACATTCAAATTTTGGATCCATCTCTGTCTTTGAATACCAAGTGACGAGTAGTTTAATGTCAAATATTTACAAGGCATGATACACACAATTTGAGTTCCCCTAACATTCCTTGCCTTGCAAGTATATATAGAGCATCTGCTTCTTTTCTTCTTTAGGTTAGAAAAGAACATGTATGTGTGTGTCACAATTTACAGTCTAATGTGATCAATCTGAAAGTTATCGTAGTTACAGTACTTTTCCCTATGGTCTTACGTATATAACATATATGGTACATGAAGTTATTCTATTTTAATTGATAAAATCGAGATTAAGAAGAAAAAAATCATTTCTTACATTTGTATCGGTTAAAGTAATTTTAAAAGAAGGAAAACAATAATAATATTCTTTAAAAATAATATTTTTTTAAAATAATATTTTTATTAGTATATTTTAAAAGAAAATAAATAATATATTTATTCGAAAAAAACATTTTGCCTATTTAGTAACAATAGGGTAATTTTGGACCTAAATATTGACGAAAGCATTTTTGAATCAAACTACAATAAATGACATTTTTATTCATTTCGCATAATTTAAAAACCTTTTTGACAATTTCCGTATTATATATATTGTTTGTGGGGTAAAGGAATGTAGCTTTTGTTAATTATGAGGTTAACGTTATAATGAAAAGTTGATTAAATTTTTCACGTGATTCACGGAGCTAGTTGGGAAGAATCTTCATTTATTCAAAACTTGGCAATTGAAAATTACATTGGAGATCATTTTGTATTTACTTAAAATGAACAATTCTACATGTCACTCGTATAAGTTATCTTAGGATTGATTATTTTACTAGTGTAACAATTAACATGTCATCTCTTAGGTAAAATATTTTTCAAATCAATTTATTTTTCTCAAATTTAAGGAAAATGATTTTCCTTCAAAAATTAAGGAAAACATTTTTCAAAACTCTTCTCCAACTTCATATTACAATTTAATTTTTTGAAAAAATAAATTTAAAGATTTTCAACTTCAATTTTTTATTTTTTATCCACTCCTACCCCGCCAGCCCCCA